CGCCATCCACTAGCTGGCTAGTGCTGGGACAATAGCTTAAGCTGTCTTATATTTAGGAAAGTTTTGGTGACAGCACACTCCAGAGCTTTTGGGTGAGGGTGAACCATGAGGAGTGCTTGGGCAGTGCCCTGCACTGGGAACTTCACAGGGCTGTGTGTGTGTGTGTGTGTGTGTGTGTGTGTGTGTGTGTGTGTGTGTGTGTGCACATGTGGAGGCTGCTGTCTTCCTCTGTTGCTCTTCATTATTTTTTGAGGCAGAGTTTCTCATTGAACCTGGAGCTAGACTTTTTTGGATAAACCAGTTGGCTTTGAAGGCCCTGGGATCCAACTGTCAGTCCACTTAGTGCTTGGGTTACAAGAGCACATGGCTCTTATGTGGGCCCCAAGGATCAGAACTCAGGTTGTCACATTAACATAGTATAGTACCTTTCACACAAAGTCTTAACCAACTCCCAAGTAACCTTCCAACTTGCTTTTCTTTCTTTCATTTTTGGAAGGCAGGGTCTTGCTATGTAGCCCAGGCTGGCCTCAAATTTGTGGCAATCCTCCTCCTTTCTTTGTAATGCTGGGGTTACAAATGTGAACCACCACAAATAATATCCAGTAAACTAGCTTTGTTTTTTGAGACAGGGTCTTGCTAGAGACAGACTGCACTAGCTGGAAACTCCTTAATTTTATGTACTCATGTGAGTGCAAGTGGCCATGAAGTCCAGAAGAGGGCATCAAAGCAGCTGGAGTTGGAGATACAGGATATTGTGAGCTACCAGATGTTGCAATTGGGAACTGAACTTGAGACCTTTGAAAAAGCAGCAGGTGAGTGCTCTTAACTGCTGAGACATCTCTTCAGCTTTTTCCCCCTCAAGACATAATCTCTCTGTGTAGCCCTAGCTGTCCTGGACTTCACTCTGTAGATCAGGCTAGCTTCAAAAGTCACAGAAATCCACCTGGTTTGGCTTCTCATAGCTGCTGAGATTAAAGGCATGGGCTGCCACCACCTGGCTCAGCTCACTTTAAGTCAGGGTCTCACTGTGTAGTCCTGGTTGGCCTGGAACTTGCTATGTAGACCAGGTTAGCCTCAAATTCAGAGCGATCCACCTGCCTCTGCCTCCCAGGTGCCAACATGAAAGGTATGACTACCACACCTGGCAAACCTCTCTCTCTCTCTCTCTCTCTCAGATTTATTTATTTATTTATCATGTATAAAGTGCGTGCCAGCAGAGGGCACCAGATCTCATTTCAGATGGTTGTGAGCCACCATGTGGTTACTGGGAATTGGACTCAGAACCTCTGGAAGAACAACCAGTGCTCTTAACCCCTGAGCCATCTCTCCAGCCCCCCCCCCCTTTTCAAGACAGGGTTTATCTGTGGCTTTGGAGGCTGTCCTGGAACTCGCTCTTGTAGACCAGGTTAAACCTTTAATTCTTGATTTTCCTGCCTCATGATTTCCTGCTTCCCCCAAGCTGGGACCACAGATGTGTACCACTATACCAGACTTCAGTAATTTATATTTTGAGACAGGACCTGATGTATTCCAGGCTGGCTTGAATTTATTTATGCAGGATTTTCCTCACAGAGATCCACCTGCCTCTACCTCCCAAGTGCTGGGATTATAAACACATAGTAAAATGCCCAGTTAATTTTGGCTAGGGAATCCAACCCAGGGCTCTGTGCATGCTAGGTAAGCACTCCACCAACTGAGCCACACCAGACTCCCCTAGTAACTTTAACTGGGCACTTGCTGTATGCCAACTCTTCTCCACAGACCCGCATCTACATCAGTGAGTAAACTGGCCAATGTCCCAGCCCTGCTGGAGCTGAGAAACCGGACAGTCCACATTTGCAGATACGTGTTATGTAGTGAATTTGGCAGAGGAGGAAGTCACAGCACTCCTGCCCTTTACTCTATAGAGCCACCCAAGAACCCTGAGCATGGGAAGGCCACACCCCAACTCAGATGCTCACTGGGAGCAGAGACAAGGAAGAGTCTTTTTGTGACTAGCCAAGTAGAAGACAAAAGTGGCCAGTTGCAGAACAGGGCTGAGGAAGGAGGAAAGAGAGGGCAACTGGCAGATGCTGGAACATTCGAAGGTGCAGCTTCAGGTTTGCTAGCTCACTGGAGCGGTGAGAAAACACCGAGGATAGCCCCAAGAGTGGCTGGAGCTGCTTAAGGTGCTGAGCAAAATCCACCAGGGGAGGAGCTAGTCTGGGCAAAGGGCTTGGAGAGCCTGTGAAGGGGTGAGGTGAGTGCAAAGGAGTCTGGGGATCAGCTTCTGTGTGTGTGGCACTCGACAGTACAGGAGTTGGGGACCATTGGCCAAAGGACAAGCATAAAGATGGCTCAGTTTGAGAGTTATCAAAGGATGATGCCCTTCTTGTCCCAGAGAAAGAGAGGCTTTGGCATCCTTTCACTTTCCCTGGGACCTCAGGCCACCCAGCTTGAGCCCTGTGGGCAGCCACAGGCACTTGAATGGGAGCAGCCACCTAGCATGTCACTCACAGATGCAGAAGACTTTGTCTTGTGACCATTTATTGTAAAGATGGGATGGAGTTCTGTGGCTCTTCCTAGATGTCCTTCGCATCACAGGCTGAGACATGCTTCTGGGCGACAGCCCCAGTGATAATAGGGGTTAATGACAATAATTCAGTAGCCAGGAAGAAAGAGAGAGAGAGAGAGACCCAGGAGTTCAGGAGGGCAGGTGGCAAGTACAAAGACATCAGGGCCAGCTCCAGGGTAGAGGTTCTAAGTGTCTGGGGCCTCTAGAGCAGACAGTTGTCAGCTGGCAGCAGGCGGGCCAGGGAGCCTGGGCTTCTGGGGCTGGTTGGGGCCGATGTACTGGAGAGGCACATGGGTGGGGGCTGTGATCCGGTCAGTGCCTACGTAGGGCTGGAGGACAGCAGGCACAAGGACGGAACCATCCTGGGGACAGAGAAGTTATCAGGATGCTACCTTTCCTCCAACTCTCCCCTCAGCTCCTGGAGGAAGTCCCAAACTCTCAGGCTGAAAGTACTGCCAGGTGAACCCAGGATCTCTCCCAGGCCGGGTAAACTCTTAACCACTGAGCCATGCCCCCAACCCCTCACTGGGGAATTCTAGGCAGGGCTCTACCACTGAGACATGTCCCTGGCCTTTTTTAACTTTTAAACTCGAGATAGTAAAGATTCCCAGGCAGGCCTTGAACCTGCAGTTCTCCTGTCAAACCTGAGATTCCAGGCTTGGGAGATCTCTCACCTTTTGCTGATTGCTCTCCAGAAGAGCAATGAGGACTCGGGGAACAGCACAAGCCGTGGCATTCACCTGGGAGAAGGGTGTGCTCAGGACCAGGCTCTGACTCTGTCCTGGCCCTGGGGGGATGAGGGGGAAGGGAAGGTGGACAGGCAGTGTGAGCCTCACCGTGTGTGTGAACTGCAGCTCCCCAGTCTCCGACTCAAACATGATATACAGACGGCGGCTCTGGAAGTCCGTGCAGTTGGAGGCACTGGTGACCTGGAGCAGGGGTGATTGAGAGGCTGTTTGGGGGGACAGGCCCACCCTCTAGTGTCTTACCACACGTTCCCCACTAGGCCAGGGCTTTCACCTCTCCGTATCCGCCTCGGCCAGGCATCCAGGCCTCAATGTCGAACTTGCGATAGGCGGGAAGGCCCAGCTCCTGGGTGGGCATGTCCAGCACCCTGAGACCAAGGTCAAAAGCAGGGTAAAACTTACTGGGCAAGGGTGAAGGATGCTCAATGGAAGAGGAGACCAAAAAGGAGGGCAAGAAAAGGGTAAGAAGGACACAGGGGATGAGAACAGGCACTGGGGAGGTGGTACCCAGAGGAGGCAGAAGGCCCAGGGTGGGAAGGACGGACGAGCATACAGCAGTCTGTGGGCTACTCACCCAACCATTCTTACAGTCTAGAACACACCTCCAGTTTTGGAGTTCTAATGGCTTTTCTTTTTGTATGTTTTTTTGAGGCAAGGTCTCATGTAGCTCAGGCTGGCCTAGGATTCTCTCTGTAGCTGAGAATGGCCTTGGACGGGATCCTGATCACGGGTACTGGGATTGTAGGTGGGCATCACCAGGCCCCATTTTTCTGTGTGCTCACTGACTGCACTAGACAGGCCGGGCAGCGAGCTCTAGGGACCCACCTGCCTCTGACTGTCCGGCACTGGGGTTACAGATGCACGCCATCACCCCCGCTGTTATACGGGTGCTGGGAATCAGAACTGGGCTTCTCATGTTTGCATGTTTGCACAGTAGCTACTTTCCTGAGCTTTGTTTCTGTTTCCTTTGAAATAGGGTCTCATGTAGTCCAGGCTGGCCTCAAACTCCTAGCAACCCTGTTGCCTCAGTCTCCCAAGTGCTTGGATTGTAACTGTGAGGCACTACATCAAGCCTTTTTGGTTTTATTTACTTAAGTTATTTTGAGACAGGCCTAAAAAAGCCCTCCATAGTTCAGGCTGGTTTTGACCTCATAGAAATCCTGCCACAACTGCTTAAGTGGTGAGATTACAGGTGTGCCCCACCTGGATGCATACTCTCAGTTTTGTTTTGTTTTTGCAATAAGTCACCTGGGGAAGAGGTGGCCTTCTTCGGGCCTCTGGAAAGCTGTGTGTCCTAAAGGATGGGTGGGCCTTTAGATACCTGGTGCTTCCTTTTCCCACCCCTGCTTCACCCCGGACCTCACTCTAGGGATGGGGAGCCTCCTATAAAACAAGATAAAGCACACATGCTTTTTACACTCCTGTAAAGCAAGGTAGTGCAGGCAGAGACTGCCATTCAGAGGCCTCACCCCGGGGAAAGGAGGCAAAGGAGCTAGTAGCAGGATAGCCTAGTCAACCCCACTCCCTTCTTCCACCCCCCCAGCCCCACCCATCTCCGCACCGGAAGTGCAAGCCCAGCTCAGTCAAGATCTCCACCTGCAGGGACAGGAACTCGTCCAGCAGCTGCGAGCTCTGCTCCAGCCCAGGGGCTGTCACCCCAAACATCTCAACCTAGGACAGGGCAGGGACACTGGGTCAGGAGGTCCTGGGTGGTAGTGGTGACCTGTGCATGGTTGGCTAGGTCTGCACCGCTCACTTTAGTGAAGTGATGAACTCGGTACAACCCCCAAGGCTCCTTCCCGGTGTCCGTCTCGGCCCGGTAGCAGGTGCTGGCACAGACCATCCTAGGAGGAGCATGTGAGGTTGGGTCAGGGAGGGTAGACGATATTACCACTATATCTAGGGTTAAGGAAACTCGGCATCACCTGACTGGCAGGTCCCTGAAAGCCACAGTGTGGTCCATGAAGTATCCTGGGAGGAGAAAGCAGCAGGATGGGATTAGCCAGGGTTGCCGTCTCCCACAGGAAGTCACAGTGAGAGTCAGAATCTCCCATGTCAGAATACGTGACTAGTTACTGTACTTTTGAGTAGCCAACAACTTACACAACTGTGTGTGTGCTCCGTCCCCTGCAGGGAGCTGTCCCCTCACCACCCAGACAGACGCTCACCTGCCAGCCCCACCTCCGCTGTCCCAGCCAGGTTGAGATCTTTGAATCGGGAGG